ACCCTGGAGGACATTATGCTGAGTGAAATCTTTCCATCACAAAGGGACAAATTCTGCATAGTGCCACTGTTGTAAAATCAGACTGACATTGAGGTTGGGGAGCAGACTGAGATAGAAGGGATAAATAATATATACTGTATTGAAACAGATGAGGGAGAAAACTGTTTAAAAGGGATATGTGATTAGGTATTATTGTCATGACAGGAGTCCAGAACAATAGTGGAGTGGACCTGGGCGGAGGGGTTGTAGAACAATTAAAGAAGTTTTCTTTTACTTTTCAAAGAGAAGAGTATATTGTGGGAGAGGAGTGGGCAGGGAGAAAAGTGCAATAATGAATGAATGGAAATCCAAAATCTCTGTAAATTTTCATTAAAATAAAAAAAAATCCTGGTTAGTCATTTGAATGCTCTCTGAATTGAGTAATCAGGGGGAAATCATTCTTTACATTTTTTTCCCCCGAGCGGCACAGACTGGCCTTTATTTGCACAGCGTGTCCATTCTTTAAGTATCTTATGGTGTATCATTTCTAATGTAATGGTATATTCAGAATAGAATTTAAATTTCTCTTCTTCTTGAGGTTTTTTTAAAAGAGAGCAAATGACAGTGACTTGTATTAAAATAGGTTCCTGGATTTGAGCAGGGCTTCTCTTGCTGCCCTGTTAGCATCACCTCTGTCCATGCACCGACAGACCACAGAGCAGCATGTGGCTCACTATTTCCATGATGCTTCTTTACTTTGAGCGGAAAAGGCCTTAAAAACATTTTGATGTCTAATATATAAATCTCTTTTAAAAAATAGAAAACCACCCATCTTGACACCTAAAAAGTCATCCTGTGATAGTGCACATTGCCCCTTAGTGGACCTGACAGCCTGAGACACCACAGAAGCTGCTTCCTCTTTGCCACACAGGGTCCGTGTACATCCTTGGAATCAACTCCAGGCACCATATGATAAGAGCCACAATAGTTACATGAAAAAGTTTGGGTATAATTCAGTAACTGTGTTTTTAAGGCTACTAGAAGAAATTATTTTTTTACTTTCTGAGCACTTCACAGTTTCTGGATGCTACCAGGGATCTGGTGATGTTTGGCTCCAGCATAATGTTATTTGCATACTCTGACCTGGGCCACAGTGAAAATGAATGACATCTTCGTCTCACCACAGGTCCTGATGGATGTCTAATTAACATCAGCCTGATTTACACTGCAGATACTTTGGCCTAAGCATTTTGGAGCCAGACAGAAGAGTGGAAGATGTGTGCTACATGTGACAGTTGGGAACACGAGTGGTGAGATGGGACACTCTGTGGAGCCAGCATTCTTCTCTCCCTTCCTTGTGGGGCCTTTACTTCTCTATCTGACATGGTGCTCTCAATCTTAACAGTCAGACCATAAATATTTATTCAATCACAAAACCTCAAAAGTTGATTATAGCCTCCTCTAAATGTAGCACTGGCTTTTTTCTTTAGAGCCTAGAATCTTTGGACCTTGACAGAGATACATTTCTGACTTTTGGACAGTGTCTTCCAGAATGAAAATGGCAGGCTGTTTTCTGGGGACTGTGGGCATATTGTTGTCCACAGCTTCTCTGTAAGCTTGGCTGTGAGCTTAATTAACAGAAAATGCCACTCCTCCAGATACGTGTAAGCAGCAAGCAAAACATGTTTGGATTTCCACTACAACCATCATTGTACTGGGCACTCTGTGTGGATATGTGGGACACAGTGGAAGCTTTCGGGAGTCATCAGGACGGCACCAGGCAGTGCATGATAGGTCTCTAGAGGGACATGTCTGTGTTCCCCAGGCCCATGAGCAGACTGAAAGGGAGCCGGAAAAGCGTGGATGGCAAGCATGGCGTCTAGAGGCTCAGGTGGCCAGCAGCCCTAAGTTTAGCTCAGCTCTTTGAGTCATTTGTCACGCCTTGCTTGGCCCCTGCTGGGCCAGCACGTGCCAGCTTAGTGTCAGAGTGCCTGCTCACCAGACATCCACTCAGGCCCAGCATCCTGCTGTTCCCAAGCAGTGCTTTGCTGGGGCCACACGGAGGACAAGGCCACAGTGACAGCCAAGTGCTGTGCAAAATAAGCATGTTTGTAATGAGACATGAATGGCATTAGTGGATCCCTCTAGAATTGGCCCTGAGCAGGCACCTCTCACCAAGAAAGTTGGGCAGCCTGCTCATTATGTTGCGTCACCAGGAGGTCAGCACTCTCTGGGAGCCAGTCCAGCTCCTGCTGCCCAGGTCATGGGCTGTTGTGAACGTCCACGGGAGAGGTCTTCCATCAGCAAAGAGGCAGGGGCTCCCTTCGAAAGCACCACATTCACTTTCCTTTGGAGAAATCCTGAACACACTGTCCAGTAGAACTTTCTGAGGTGATGAGAATGTCTTGCGTAAGCACGGTCATTGAGGGTTACCTCACCACGTGGTTACTGATGCCAGATATGTAAGCAGTGGGAAAGAGGAACTAAAATTTTTGGTTTTTAAAGTTTAATTAATTTTCATGTAAGTAGCCACACGGAGCTCATGGCTGCCCTGCTTCTTTCTTCTCATAGTGTTGAAACCATCCTCTAAATACAGTGAAAGTTAGAGGAGATGGGCAGTGTGGACTCCAGGTTGGTGTCTGTGCTGTTATACAAGAAATAGAAAAGTATTTTTCTATTTTAAAACAGTGAAGCTGATTGCAAAGATGTAACTGTTATCATTCTGTATTCGTTAATTTTATTTATTTACTACATGCTTATTTATTTTGTTGGACTGTGCACAGCAAAACATGCACCAAATCAGCATTTTCTCCATGTACCAGTCAGTGACATTAACTACATCCTGTGAGGAACACAGGCATTTTCTAGACTGTGTCCCCTTTATTAACATAAACTTTATGTTCCATAAGTTTCCTATAAAGCATTTTTGAGTTGCTGTTTGTTTGGTTCCGTGTAGATTGATCCTAAAAGAGCTTAGTGCCAAAGGCAGGCATTCTTTACTAGTTAAGCTAAACTGTACTTTTAAGACTCCAGGGGATATATTGAATTATATGATTATATGAAGGCCATAGTTTCAGGGGTTCTTAAAATCTGGATCTTAGAATTTGACATTCCATTTTGCAGTTTACCCTTTTTATCAGAATCATTCTATAGAATATTTTATAAAAATGTTCATTTGATACAGATATTGAGACACCCAGTTCTCATAGCATAGTTAACAAGGCACACGTTCCACTGTCTCCTCCTATTACTGACTCCCCTTCCTCCTCCTTGTCCCAGACAAGTAGAGCTTCATTGTTGTATCTTGCACTGCACTTTCAGGCTTTTAAGACTCTAAGAACTATGCAGCAAAGTAAGAGATAGGACAGAGCCAACTCTTACTTTAAAGAGGCCACATGGAATTTCCCTTGAGGCATATTCTTAGCAATGGATTAGCTGGATCATGATGGAAACAGCCAAAATGTCCATCAACAAACAACGACTTAAGAAATGTGGTACATTCACCTGATGAAATACTGTGCAGCAGCCAGGAGCGATGATTTTGAAAAATATTATATAAAATGGAAGAGGCTGGGGAGCATTATGCTGAGTGAACTCAGTCTCATAAGGACAAATACTTCATAAGGCCATTATTTAAAAAATTATTTTAAAAAGTATTACTAATAAAATGTGTACAAAAGTCCAAAGGGAGAAGGGGAGGTAAGAGGAGAACTAAGGTGGGGGCTGGGGGGACTAGAGGAAAATCTTGAGGTTGCAGCATTTGGTGGGCAAATTGAGGGGTTGAACAAGTTGAGAAAGATCCAGTGGGGGCCTTAAAAGGTGTAATGATGGGCATGGACCAATGGTAATAGATTTTATAATATACAGTGTATGGGAGTGATAATGTGAAACACTGAATGGAGCAACATGTGAAATGCAATCTATAAGAAGAAAGTGTATATGACTTTTGTATGTAAACCAACATAAAAGATTTTTTTTAAAAGAGGCCACATTGTTGTCAAATACAATGAGAAATGCTCAAATTACTCTCCCAGAGATGCAAATAATAATTTAATGGTAATCAGCACACTTTCTATTTCTGAAGAATTAGCATGTTTTTCTAAATGCTTAAAACATGTATTTTAACTTTTCCATGGATAATAAAGAAGTGGGAAATGAGAGCGAACTCATGCTGACATCTCCACATGTTGGTTCATAAAGTCGTTTGTGTCATGCCTCCATTCATCACTGAATTGTTCCGGCACTACCCTGTTATTGCAAGTGCATGATTCACCTCTGAGGGACCAGAAAACATACACAAAGGGAAGATTTGCTTTTTGCCCTGTGAAAGGCTGCCCCACGCAGGGGTCCTATTAAGGCAGCTGGAAAGTTGCTTCCGTGCGTTACGCTTGTAAGTTTTATTGGTGACTGGTTTTTGATTACACATTTAAATAGTGAGTGCTCTAGACTACAATTTTAATTAAACAGCAGTAGACTTTTTAAAAAAATCATATTGTGCACTTTTGCTAGATTCTCCCACACATTCATTCTCATTTTCTATTATTTATAGCTTATTTCTGTTAAAGGCCTGGTTCTCCTTCCTAAACTTCTCTCATCCCAGTATCAGACATTTTCTTGTTTTTAAAAATGTACATCCAGTTATTTCATCAATTCCTGATTGCAGTATCATTATATAAGTTGGCTGTAGAATATTTTAGCAGTGAAATAGGAAGGGAAAATCCAATACTGAACAACTATTGTCAGTCATAAACAATGCCATTGCAATACAATGTCTTTACTTATTTAAATCACCCCAAATTATCTCTTTACATTATTCTAAAACTCTTGGTTTACTTATCCCAAAGTCAGAATTTTGTTAATTACAACCAATATAAATTTTGAGAGGATGCTAAACAATTTTTGCAAGATATTTTCACCTACAAGTGTAAAAGATGCATAAATTATCTTTAAAAAAATGAAGCATACCACTGTTAGCCATGTTATTATGCACGTGGGCTTGTTTCCTTAACCAATTGCTGCAGCTATGAAGAGCGAGCACGGTACCTCGAAGCAATAATTCAGAATCACCGGGAAGTCATGACATTTGAGGATTTTGCAGCCCAAGTGTTTTCTCCCTCTTCTGGCTACTCGCTTAGTGGAACGGGTGAGTGTCTACATTATTCCTTTCTCACGCACTTCAGACACATTTGAGCAGCAGATGTACACCTGTTTTTCACAGATAGATGCTTGCAAATTTAAGAACATTCTCACTCTGAATCAGCTAATAAATATCAAAAGGAACGATGACATTCATTTTAATTTGTTTTGCATCTGAGCTGTTCACTCAGTTCTTTTCTTCAGCTATCCTGTTAACCTCTACATCTAGCAAGGTTAATGAACTTTTTCTCAGTAATGTGCTCCAGTTTATTCAGGAGTATAGGTTTCTTGCTGAGCTGGGAATATGTTGTTTAAAAGCAATGCCCAAATCAGTGCTTACTTATAAAAAAAAAAAAAAAAAAGAGTTCCTCACAGTTGAAGCCATTGCTACAAAAGCTAAATGGGGATTATGCTGCCAAGATACTAGGGTCAAGGATTAATGCAGGAGAAGTGTAAGCATGGTGTCCTGGTCAGTAATTCCAGGAGGGAATGGTCTGTGTGCATATGGACATGCTGCTGACCGGACCAGCACCTGGCATGGGACCAGCTTAGAAGCTGGCTTGTGATCCTTTTACTTTATTAGGCCAGTAGAGCTATTGGGACTACTCATGTATGTCTTTGTTTTTAGGCTTTTACTCTTTTTATATCTACAGTTTTAAAAGAAATCATATTCATACTGCTATTTAAACTGATTGTTTTATTGCTATAAGTTTGTGGTTGCCTCCGCCCAAGAGTAGAATTATTACTTGTAAATTTCTGCATGTAATTACAGGTTAATTGCCCTATAGAAAGTAAATGGGATATTTAGTTAATACATGTTGAAATTCTCAGTGAGTGGCTTCCTTCTCCCTCCACTGGTGCTTAATAGATTTCTGACCTCTATCAGCTGCCTCTAAACACCACTTTTCGTCCCCTATCCTGAGTTGTTAATAAATATCTTATGCGCGAAGTGAAAAAAATTAAATTCGGTGAAATAAATCACTTACAAAGAAAATCAGCCATGCATCATTGTTTAACATCGCTGGCTTCAATCCTTGCCTCTTCAGGCTTTGTTGGGAGATAAGAGGGAGATTCAGGCACTTGTACAGGGAGCCAGAAGCAGCAGGCAGAAGGCTGGGGAGATAAGCAAGCTGGCAGAGGTAAGGGAGCCTCATGATTTACATAATCACGCCTCTGCTTCCTGGTGAGGCGTCAAGAAACACAGGGATGGCCTCTATTGATCTTTCTTGAACTAGAATACTAAACAACTCAAGAAAAGCTTATAACTTAAAGCTTTGATTAATGTTTCTTAACATTTATAAATAGAACAGCTGTGAATTGAATTCTTTTATACGCTTTGCCAACATTTTAAGGCAAAAAAAAAAAAGAAATCCATTTCAAGGGAAATGAAGATTTCATACTCAGGCTGACTAAAGGTTTACAGTTGTTTCTGGTTTTTAGGTAAAAAAAACAAAAAGGGTCTGAGGCCAAAATATTTTTTAAAAGCCCATTGAACTTTTCTTATCATTGTGAGATATTGGAATTTGATATTTCAGTGGAGGTTGATTTATTTGTGTATTTATTTTGTCTTTGAGAAAACTTCTCTCTCTTATGAAAATTTAAATTATAGCTAGATTTCTATAGTTTATATTCCTTTAATCAAGTGTTAGATTTTTGGAGTTCTTGATTAGGATATTATTGAAACAAGTATTAATAATTTTCTACATATATTTTATATACTATACAAGTGAATTTGATCTTTCCTAAGAATTCATATTTATTTAAACAAATTCAAATGAATCAGTAGATAGGTAACATCTTGAATGGGACTGTATGAATAATTTGAAGAGGGTAATTTGGAGAGGGTTATTACCACATATCTTTTGTGATGTCACATTTACGAAAGTTATATATGAATGTCTGAATGAAAATTAGTTTGTTTTGTAAAGCTTCACTCAAATCACACTCAAAAATTACTTAACAGATTAAATTACTTAACAAATTACTTAAATTGACAACAAAGAAATGGTGGATATTGGAACTTCTACCAAAAGAACTGTAAGTTAAATAGGACGTATCAAAACAAAGGCTGGTCTTTGTCTTGACTAACTGTTAAAATTAGTTAACATTTCATAATGTAATGGTTTAGGATATTATATATACACACCACCTATTTCCAACTGTGATTTTAAGTTGAGGCATAATATTAATATAATATATAATAATATTACCACTTTGCATATCTGCTACAGTCATGATTAGAAATGAACTTGACTTAGTCTGATATTTGGGAGCAGTACAATGAGGAGTTCAGGTGGCACAGTGGTTAAAGCCTTCATCTGTTAAACCAAAGATCACTGGTTCCAGCCGTTCTGTGGGATAAAGATATAGCAGTCTGCTTGTGTAAAGATGACAGCTTTGGAATGCCCTGGACAGTTCTGCCCTGTCCTATGCAGTCAGTATGAGCTGGACTTCACAGCAGTAGCCTTACAATGAGAGCTGATCATTTTAACACCATATATAGGTACATTTTCAGAGCTACATCTTTGTTTCATTTATGTGCTTTTTATGCTCTGAAGAAATCGTTGTCCTAGTATGTTACTGCTTTTACAATGAAAAAATTTTCATTCATTTCTACTATATTTTTTTTTGTTGTTATTCCTACTATTTTGTATCTGCTTGGGACACATACAGTCAAGGCTGGGTCTTCTAGGTAGCAAGCCAACTTGTAAGATTATTTTGAGCTTCACCTCCCACAGTGCACACAGGACCCAATCAGACCATCCCTGGTCACCAGGGTGTCACCGCAGCAGGGCTCTGGACTCCCGCTTGTATACAGTCTGAGGAGTTAGGAGCTCTGAGATGTCTTTTTACCATTGCAATAAAAATGTTTATCATTCATGCAGAAGAGCTAATCGGTACTTTTTTTCACACTGCAATTGTAGAAAGTTAGAATGCAGCATGTTTTAATACCCACAGGACTCCTGATACTAGCTCAGACTAAAAGATGTGCTCTGTGGGGGTGCCTGTGCTGAAAAATACCAGTGTTGGAAGGTGCCTCTGCCACACACTCCACCCTGAGTGTCATTGTTCTCTGTCGATGGCAGCCATTGAAGGCAAGCTGGCCAAGAAAAGCCCTTCATCCATGATACTCTGTGAACCTCAAAAGAGGAAGCTCACAAGCTTTTATTCATAGACTAATGCATATTTTGAAAGAAATCTACTCTCCTAATTAGAAAGTGGTTCTCAAAACACTCCCTATCTCAGATCTGTTTTGTTGTGTCTGTGAATCACAGAATATAATAGATAGTGAGCCACTTTAATTTACTTTCCTTTATAGATGCCTTCCTCTGTTGGCTAGCAATATCTATCTAAAAGACATTCAGTGTTAACACACTGACTACAACTGGCATATGGATGTGTGTGTGTGTGTGTGTGTGTGTGTGTGTGTGTGTGTGTACGTACACGTGCACATGGCACACAGAGAGATTGATGAGAGACTAGTTTTGTGATTGTGAGCATGCTACTAAGGAAAAGGGGCTGCAGAGAGGCCGTTAAAGGGTTAACAGAATGGGCACCCTGGACTGCTGGGAGGGACTGATGTAATCACTACAGCTCACAGCCAAGTGCATCTGTTCACCATGAGGTCATTCTTCTGCATGCTAATGATTTGGAAAATGAAGTCTAATGTTTGACATTATCAGAAGGTTTTTAAATAATATGAATCTTTACTTTTGGAAGCTACTCTTTTAGGAAAAAAAAGAAACTTTGTTTGGACTAGGTATTTTTTTCAGAATGCTTTAGACTGTGTGTGGGCTTTTAAAAATCTTAGAGGGATCTAGTTGTGTCTGTTGATAAACAAATCATAGAACTATTATTACATTCAAAGATAGCAATTTGGTAGTTAAGGACTATTAGGTATTTTTAATATCTAATTTCAAGAAGTTCTAAGTAATGTGGTGATAAGTTGATAAAAATGGATTCCTCCCTCAAAAATAATCAAAACGAAATTAAATGGGTGCTATACCTAACTTGACTAAATTAGCTAAAGATGCCAACACTATTGAAGTTCATTTCTCCTTTAATGTTGCTTTAGAGAGCCAGCAGAGGGAGCACAAATCTTTGTTTAATTGTTAGCAGTGCATAAACTCAGGACTTGATTTCTCCAATATGTGGTCAGAAGTGCTTCCCCCACTTCAGGACAGGCTGGATTGTCCAGGTTACAGGACTTAAAAACCAGTGAGTGAGAACTCATCACTGGGCTTTCTCGAGTTTTTCCTCCTTAATGTAGGTCATATTTGGAGCTTCAGTCAATTCTGTCTCAGTCAGTTTTGAGATGCTGCATGGATGGTGCTATTTTTTATAGAATTACAGATTTTCATCTTTCATGTATATCTTTAGCTCCTCTTTTGGAAAAGATTACTGTGTTGTTCACTTACCTAGTAGAAAAGGCTTTTATAATTGTTTACAATAAAATTATACCAGAAACTTACTGGGTCATTCTAAAGATTTTATGAAGTTGTAGACAGAAGGTAAGTGTATTACAGTAAGACTTTTTCCTTGGCTAGTTCATTGAGCAATAAGTAATCAGATTAATCCCCAGAAACCATATAAGGCAACTCTAACCCTGAAAAGATTCCTCCCATTCACTGAAAGGACAGCCAGGATACAGATTGGTCACTCTGTTAAAACACTTCTGTAAGATTTTGATTGGCAGTACTTGTTATGTGTGCAGCTTCCTCATAACTTTGGACCAGTATGGAACACTATAAATTGTAGAGCAGAAAGGACCTTAGGAAATATCTGGCCTAACTCCTTTACATCATTCTTGAGGAAAAAGAAGGATAAGCCATGAAGGGACAGCCAGAGGTCTTCAGCAAGTTGGACTCAGGACCAATCCCACCCCTTCCCACCTCATTCTTTGATCTCGCTCTCCCACAAAGTGCAATCACTGGCTCCAGTGACATTGCATCAATATTCAAGTGGTCACCAATTTTCCATACTGGATAAACTGTCATCAGATATTGG